GAAGGGAGCGGGGAGAAAGTTGAAAGGGAGTGGGGAGAAGGTTGAAGGAAGTAGAGAGAAAGTTGAAGGGAGCGGGGAGAAAGTTGTATATGAACGTCACAGCTGTGGTCATGTGATAATTAAAGAAAAGAAAGAGAATGGTGAAAGAAACTACATGGAGGTGGAGGTCAGTAAAAGTCTATAATGTTTCTGAATGTTGTGTCATGTTGAAGTAAGTAGAGTGGATATCGGAAAAATGCAATGTGATGTAGAAGGAACATTGTGCCATGTTGAAGGAACGCTACGACATTTTGAAAAATAGTAGTTGAAATTGAAGGAATGCAATGTAATATTGATAGAAAATGAAGTGAAGGTGATAGAACACTCCGTGAAGATGTATGACATGTAACAGAAGAAATAGTTTTTTTTTTGTAACTTACTGATCTATCAATATTCATAGGATCTATGTCTGCTAGACTTGTTCCAATTCTAGTACGGTCTTTCAGTGGCCCACTTGCTGCAATATCTTCTGGTAATAGGTTCATAGGCAGACATCTGATTGCAACAAATATTAAACAAATTATTACAATATTAGCGGATGCACGTTTTACAAAGGATCATAAAGTTGTTTGCCAGGTTGGGAAAACAAATACTGAAGGAACGTGAGCAACTTTTTCTGAAGAAACCATTTCTAGCCATTTTCATAATATTATATTATAATATGACCAGTGTGAATCTAGCCATCTGATTGGCTGAAGCCAGAGTTTACAAATGTATATCTGCCAATATACGACTTGGGCCCTGTTTAATGAACAATTAATAAAACAAAAACTGGAATAAACTGGATTGAAATATGATAAATATTGTTGTCTGCAAGTCACTAGTGGCATTTTCAGAACATAGTAATTATGTCAGACGACAAGCCTCAGATCAATTTTGATCTCAATTTCAAATGGGACCAGCTGGATGAAATTGACGCTACTGATGAAGAACTTCTTTAAGCTACACAATTAAATGGGAGCAGCAGAACGCCAGGGGTAATAACAAGCCAAATCAACAGATGCCGGTGTCTGCCGAAGGGCAAAGATTCCCAGAATTTTCTGAAGAAATGGTCGAAAACTTGGCAGCCTCCACAAAATGGGGTGTCAAATTACTTAAATATAAGTGTGATAAAAGTCAAAATTAAAAAAATAACATATCGTAACTATAGTTTGTACCAGCGAACGCCGCCATTTACGTTGTTTTTTAACAATGCGTTGAACGTTTGACCCAATGATGACCCAATTTCCGTACTAAAATTATGGTTTTTTTTTTTTATAGTGTGGTGTTTTGAACGGAAAATCGACCCAGCCTTCGAAATGGTGGAAGTGCAAGAGCTGGCAAAAATATTGAAGCATTTTTATGCCGAGGTCAGGGTTAGAGACGGGAAAGAATACAGCATAAGAAGCTACGCTGGAATTCAGCAGCAATCCATCGCCACATAACCAATGTTCCATTCAATCACCCCATTAACAATATCAAAGATCAGGAATTCCAAACTGCCAATAATGTATTTATAGGGAAAGTAAAAAGTTTGAAGAGGGAGGGGAAAGATAAAATCCAACACAAAACGGTTATCAGTGTGGGAGACACTGTCTGACCATGACCCGGTGTCTCTTTTACGTTTGGTGTGGTTTTATATGAGTTTTTCTTTTGCCGAAGGGAACGGGAGGGTCTTCGGGATTTACACAAAGAGAGTTTTGTTTTAATGAAAGATGACAGGGGACAGGGATTATATCACTTTGGCCTTTTTGGAAGCAACCAAAAACCACCCCAGGGATTTGAAGGATGACTTTGAATCAGAGAAACGGATGTACAAAACAGACTTCCCACTTTGTTCTGTTACGGCCATTCTAAATTATACAAATAAGCTTCACCCAAGCAATAATGCTTTTTTCCAGCGGCCTATTAGTAACTTTACAGGTAGGAAAACAACTTGGTATACAAATGCTCCTTTGGGTCACAATACTTTGGGGGAAATGATGAAAAAAATATCAGTGGCCGCTGAGTTGAGCATGCTGTACACTCACCACTGTGTGAGAGCAACCACTATAAAATAATTGAACGACGCTGGAATACCAACACGGGTAATCATGAATTTAAGTGGCCATCGGAAGGGAGTATCAGGAGTTACTGTTGCGACAGTTCTAGTGAACAAAACGTCAGTGTAGTGACATTTTAATGTCAAAAGTTAGTGTTCCTACCGTTGATGAGTGTGGTAACAAAGACCTTCTGATGGCCCCCAGTTCCAGCGTCGTTCGGCCGTTAACATTGAGCATAGCTAAAGTACAGTGTCAGAGAAATATCTCCACAAGTGAAATGGTATGCTCAAGCTCAGTTGCCACAGAAAACCTGTTCAAAAACTGCAATTTCGGAGGCTCTGTATATGTGTATACTAGCAATTACATTTCTCCAAAACCAAACTAAAATCCTCGAAAACGACAACTTGAAAAATTTCAAACCACCATGTTCAAATTTACCACTATTAACATTTGTTAATGTATTAATCGCGATATTTATAATGTTGATTCATGTGTATATTTTTTTCTGTTTTATATTTGTATATATATATATTATATATATTGACGATGTATTTTAAGTAATAAACTTGAACATTTGCAATTTTATAATAATCTGTTTTATCATTTTATCTTGGAATTACATGCCTGTGCAAACATGTCTCGGAGTGATCTCTATTTCACGGGGGCGGACATCCAGGCATTTTCACCGCATGGCAACCATCACAGTGAAAACAAAGGCTGAAAACTCTCAGAAAACGGTACTTTGGAATAGTTGTTGAGACTCCCTTGAACAGTGTAACAAGATTACCCCTACGTGTGTAACGCATATAAATTTGATAGTTTGGGATTACTTCAAAGTTTGAGTTTCTGTTGTTTTCTCAAATTTTCACCGGCTCTTCCCTCGGCGTTCAGTGTTCCTCAGCAGCGCGCGCAGAGCCCATAGCCCAATACGTGGTACAGTGGTGCGCGTCTTAGCAAAGTGGAACGTCTTGTGACATAGCTCCCCCCCGAGGATTGAAAGAGTGCATGACGAGGCCCCAGAACGTGGTTATTCATCGCTCCCCACACTTTGTTTCGGAAAGATGCCGTATTTCCATTAAATATTTAACGTTGTCATATTATAATGAGGTTATAAACGGTACGCTCGGGTATTT